GGGCAAATAACAAAAATATTAAAAACTAACCAGCATACTAAAACTATATCAAAATAAAAGATGAACATGGCACAGGTTAGAGAATCCCTTTCTGGGTGTTTGTTGGTTTTTTTTTTTTGGTTTTTNTTTTTTTGTACCCTGGAGTAATTGAGTATCACATAACCTTAGAGTAAATAGTTTTGACACATTTAAGATAATAAAATGGCAAATTTAGTCATGTACACTTCCAGCAAAGGGGGGAAAGGGAAGCTTTTTACCCAAAGCTGCAGTATCTGCCATGTGGCAGGTGGCCTCACACATTAGCACAGCTGCCAGCATTAACAGCAGCACCAACACGTGCAAGCCAAAACAGATGGGGCAAACAGGTTCCTTTCCACCTCAAATTAAAGTGCTCACATGTGACCCACATGAGGTAATACAGCAACACCAAAGGCAGGGAGAAACCATTAAAACACAGTTGCAGAGGGATAGAATTGCACAGAAGAGGAAAATGTCAAGCAAGGGTTCTCAATAACTTTTTTTCATAATTCATCCTGCCCAGAGTGTCACTTGAATGTTGAGTAAGAGAGGGGAGGGTGCTGTGCCTATTCCACATTCACTTAATTTTTCTACTCCAATTATGACTATAATGGTTATGCAGAAGGGAAACCTCCCCCTTCTCCTTGCTGATTTAGAGTGAGCAGATGGTGAAATTTTAATTGTGCTTTTTGTATTTCCTCCTTTTTATGGGTTCTTAAAATCTTGAGTCAAATCTTTTGTTTTGTTTGGATACCAAAAAGGAAAGCAAATTTCCATCATGGTGGTTTAGGAGGAGCCCTTCTTCCACACCCTTCTTTTACAACTTTCCTGATACATTAAAGTAATAACTAGGGGAAAAATGTAGTCTTAAAACTTCCAAATGCAACATTTTACCTGTAAGCACAGTTCACAAAACTATTAAATGAAAATGATATCCTCAAACTGTTTCCATTTTTGGACCACAACAATAATAAGTGGACCGTAACAATAATAAGTTTTGAGATGCAACTCTGCTATGCAAAAGCAAAGTTCAGTTTTCCATTTCATACATGTTAATGCATTTATCTATCAAAATATTTTACGGAGCTCTGCTACTTTTTCTTGGTAATAAGCACTCCCATTTTCCAGGCTATTACAGAACATGTCTGCAGGTAGATGTGGCACAAATAGCAAGTATTTTAAAAATGAACAGGCCCTTACCTGTCTTTTTCCTTTCCAGTCTATAATCTGTTATGGCAAGGTTTTTAATGGTGCCATGAGACCACAAATTAATAAATACGTGTAAAGGAGTTATGGTGTGTAATATTTCCTAGCCATTTTTCACAATGCTAGTTGTCCAGATGTTGAAACAAATACAGACGACTTTCGTATCTCTAATCTATACTTTAAAATGAAGGCAACCAACAGAATGGATGAGTTTGGTCTTGGCTATGTTATTATACAGATGAAGGATGTTAGCAAGGATTTCTAGGATTATTTTCTATCTAGCCATGACCTCCTGCTGTAAAGTATGTGCTGTACAACTTCCAGCAATCCTCATCCTTTAACTGTAAACACACAGTTCCTCTGTTTGATTTACTGAAAATGGTTTAAAAGACACCCACGTGGTCAGCTGCTATTGTTCAAATGTCTTCATGTCTGCAGAAGACAGCTGGAAATGACTCATGGAGTTAAACAGCAGCTTCTGAGACCTGTAACTGTATTCTTTATTCTTTTGGGTAAGATTTATACACAGTGCTACCTATGGCCGAAGTTCAGTCTAGGAATTAAAATCTTTAAATCATCTTTTTGGAAAGCGTCTTCTGTTTGTTTTCCAGTCTATTTGGTTTTCACTTGTAAATTTGTGACATCTACACCTACCCAGTAGCAAAAGTGCTAAAAGGGGAAACTAACTGTGAAGTACAAAATAAGAAACCACCAACCTACCTACAGAATCTTTTTTAAAGCAGGCTCCAGCTGCACCTGGCCATAGAACAAAAAGCACTCAGAAGCCTCATACTGTGGTGGGATGTATGTATATAATTCCAAAAGATTTATATGGAACTTTCAGATGATTAGAACAGCTTGGCTGGGAAGCTCCCAAGATGTTTTTGACAGCACCTCCTATCAATTAAACTTGTGTGAATCCAAAATAAAGATTAAGCTCACTTGTCTTCTTACCAAGTTAATGCATGCAAACCATCTTACCCTAACTGCAGCTCAGGAAAGTCTGCACTTAGTGTAATGAGGTGTCTGTAAAACCATCCTGCTCTGAGTCTGCTCACCTGCTAAGACAACTGTCTATTCACCATCAGCCTTCCACAAAAAACTGTGGTTAAAAAAAGTGCCTCAGTAAGCTTTAAGTCTAACATATACTGTAGATAGTGTAAAAAGCAGCACAAATGATTCAGTATTCATAAGAATGCAAAAGCTTTCAAAAAAGGTGTCTTACATGCAAATAAAAGAAATCCATGAAATACATTACCAGCTACTTATACATTGTAATTAATTTAACACTTTTCTAACTAGAATGTCTTTTAAATATCAGATGTGTGGTTAAAAATGAATATACATCTTTCTAATACACCTTTTATATACCTTTTCACCTACAAATATACACACTTTCAAATATAAAATCAAATTACTATTCTAATGGGCTTACCACATTTCCATGCATGTCCACAAAAGGACATTTTTAAATTTGCAGCTTACTAGGCAGTTTTGAATTGTGGTACAAGTCTATGCACAGTAAATTTAAGCCTCTGGACAGCAGACTTGCCTTTCTTAACTACCTTTCAAAGATTTCCTAAAACAGGTCCCTGGACCCCAAGGCTTCCTAGAACCACTGACTACAGACACACCAATGCTGCCCCTTATCTTTTCTGCTGGATTTCACAACGCAGAATATTTTTTAACCCAGTGTTCGGGACTCTTTATAAAATATAATTTAAAATGTTTGAAAATTTGAATGTATATATATATATATATATATAAGTTAACCCCTTACCATATTCACAATGAGTGGGTGTATAAGCATATTCTGAAAGGAATATTCATCTTTAGTGTCTGGAGAAACATGCTGCAAAATATTCTGTATATAAAAATGACTAAGTACACCAGTCTCTATGAAGCAGAATTCTTATGGATTGAGCCAAACAGGATCATAAAAGCTTTTGGCTGCTAATGTTGCAGAATCCCATCTGGTTTCATGGAACAACTTATTTTCCTCTCCATTTAAGCTCCCAGTAAGAAAAAAAAAAAAAAAAAAAAAAAAAAAAAAAAAAAAAAAAAAAAAAAAAAAAAAAAAAAAAAAAAAAAAGAGAGAAAATAAAGAAGAAACCTTTTCTTATGTACGCAAATTATATCCATAAGTTATTCCAAACAGGGAGAAAATACGTCAATCTTATTACAGAACAAACAGAACAGAGTCTAATTCTTGGCACACAAGTTCCACATAACAGTAAACAGTCTGTGTAACACACAGAAAAAGGGTAAGAAAGAAATCTCAAAGGACAAGTTTGTAAGAATTCAAGTGACTGTTGATTGGACTTTGCCTGGTTAGCTGGGTAAGTAACAGCATAACTGATCCCTCCCACACACTCATTTGTTTTGTGTTTTTTTTTTCTTTTTAAGCCCAACACAACAAAACTTTTAATAAAGGAAAGAAGATTTATTTTAATACCCCAGAACAAAAATTCTGAGTAATCCATGTTTCTTCACTCAAGCATTCATTGTTAGTAAAGTCAAGGCAGAAAAGCTTTTCCAGCAAAGTCAATGCCATCACAAGGAAACTTCTGGCTACTGGGGATATGAGCCTGCAACAGTCTTTAATCTGATGTTGTTCTTTGGAAATATTTTCTGTATTTACTGCACAGCTCTGGTCCAATAAGGTATGACTAAGAAGACTAAGGGGTTTCTCTGCAATGGAAGATGGTATTTAAAGAATGGACTTAGTGTAGTTCATAAATAGTAGAGCTTTTCTAATTTTCAGGGTGTGCTGAACTGCTGCTGAAAATAAAGGCTTACATTATCTCTGTGGTAAATCAATTCTCTGGATAAAGCTGTCAATTTTTCTTTATATTAGGAACTGATTGAAGTATTCCTATTTAGTCTGATGCCAGTATCAAATCATCTGCCATTCACTTCACAAATCAGGCATTGCTGCAACCTTTAAGAAATCACACAGACAGTTTGTATTCTGCATAAATTAAGAACTTACTTAAATGCATTACTTGACATGATGACAGACATACACCTCAAGGAAAGCATGAGACTTATTACCCACAAAAAGAGGGGGGTTTTAATGCTTTTTTAAATCATTGCATGACAGAGTAGACAGAGAACTAAGCACTACTTTAGTAATAATGAAATGGGTAAAAAGGTAATTTGGTGCTTAAAAATATTCCTACAAACTTTAATGATTAGATTTTGCCTATATGTCTTTTAATTTCCAAGAACTGTAAAGCTACAACATAACTTTATAATATTAGTAGTATATGTACCGATAATAGTAGTGGTAAATCAGCATTGAAGTGGCTGTTCTGCAATTGTTTTCTAACATAATAGTGATTGATCTTATTTTATAATGGTACCAATGAGAGAAATAGCAAGACTGCAAAATACAGCAATACTTTCTAACCACTAGATTGGATTAGTTTATAGATCAGTTTAGCCTGCTTTGAAACTGCTGCCAAATTTTTTTAGAGCATCAACTTACTCTTGATTTAAAGCTCAGCAGAGGACTTAGAAAACAATTATGCATAGGTTCCAGGCATCTCAAAATGGAGTAACACTTCCCTGTTGAAAACTGCCTAAGGATGTAAAAGACTGCCTCGAGAAAGGGGGCTGAGGAGGGAATGAAAACAAGTATTACAAGAGAAAAGCACACCTTTCTCAGCAGAAACATTCCACCCTTGAAAATAAACCTTTCACCCATCCTTACTCCTCTAAAGCAAGAATTAATGACTGGCCAACAACATCACCTCACAGACAGAAATGTTCAGTTGGGTCCAAAATGCTTTAATGTAATTTGCTGAAGATGTAATACATGATGAACAAAATCCTTGGCATATTGCTATCACTGAAAACAACATCCACTTTCTGGTTTGTTGATTCCAGTTGTTACTCATTACACTAATTTTAAGACATTTTTTTTCCTTTTCACTTTATGCTACTAAATGTTGGTGGACAAGATTAAAACAAAGAAAGATTTATTTGCAGAGTGATAGAAGAAAAAAAAAAGGTAATGTTCTTTTCCGAGTAACATCTTTAAACCTGTGTGATCATAAATACAGATGATGCCAAGAACAGCAGTGATGCCTCACAGACTATTTCATTATTGACATAAAGATTTTAATATTTATTATTATTTACTCATGATGACTGCCTGTTTCTCACAAGTGACATTATGCCATTTCTTTCAAGTTGGAAGTGTTACCCCTTAATCCCTGTCCAATGGTTATATCCTGTATTTGTGGAACAAACTTTCCCAGTTCCAAGTTCAGCACACTACAAACTTGTATTTTTCCTAAATATTTCATTGGCATTGTTCCTGGGGAACCTTGGCTTGTGGAGACCTCTTGCCAAGTTCTGCTGTTCTTTCACATGGTTCTAATCCCATGGTTTGAAAAATTTAGGATTGTTTCCCTCTTAGTTTTGTACAGGCATGCCTCTACTTGTGCATTAATTCAGGTCAGGAGGGTATTTTAAAGATAATCCTCACTAACAGTGCTTTTGTTTACATGGCAGAGTTGGCTAGGAGGACATGAACTGAATTCTTTTTCGGACCAAATTACACCTCAAAGCCAAGAGTGCACAGTGTGCTCCAAGGACTGAAAAGTCCTTGGAAAGGCTCATGCTGAAGGAAACTGAGGCCACACAGATTAGTGTATCAGGCTCTCAGCTCTCTTTGCTCTGTAAAAGCAGTTTGGTAGTCTGTATTGCCAAGCATCCACTTCAATCATTTATTGTGGTTATCTCACTGAGCTTCATGAGGCTTAAGTTTCTTTAATATTCACTAGCATAACTCCGGCCCAAAGAAATTTCCTCCACACATCCCAATTTCCTTGATTTTTAAAATCTTTCCTTACTGTCTTTTATTCCCCTTATTGAGAACTATTAGGCAACTCTTCAGCAAACTAAATTTGGTTCAGTAACTATTTTGCTAGGCCTTCAATCTACTTACTGATCTTCAAAGACAATGTTGTTTGCCAAAAGACTGCCTAGCATGAAGTTGCTAAATTTATACTTCCTTTACTACACAAGTTACTCTGTTCTTCAAAGGTGCTCCCTGAATCCTAGAGAAATTACAAACACCTCCTTTTGAGCTGGTGCCTGAGTAATATGATTGTAATACAATGAAGTTCATCTCCTGGGAAACAGTTTGGGGAACACAAGATCTTTTAATGGTAGACAGACATTAAGAGCCTAGCTTTCATTTCAAGGATTTATTTTGAAAAACAGTAGTGGGAGGGGGTTTCATGCTGTCATTAAGCAAGTGGGAAAAGCAAACACGGCTGATTTGCATGGTGAGATGCTGACATGCACTGAAGGAGAACAGTACATTATCATGTACATGCTGTACTTGTGAGAGCAAGAATTTCATATGGCCAGGAAAATTCAACCAATTAAGTGGTAAATCCAACTGACAGTGGCAAATTAATTACCAAGTGCTGGTTCACACAAACACAGATGCTTCCCTAATGTAACTTACTGTGACAGGAGCTACAGAATCTTGAACCAAAGGATGGTTACAAAATATTACTAAAAACACTTGGCATTTGTTACAAGAGAGCATTTAAAGTTCTGAACTCAGATTAGCTACTACATACAATATTAGTTTTGCATAGTAATAGTACATTTTTAAATTTAAGTAGTGAAAAAATAATAAAAAAGGATCAGGGCATATAAAATTAACCTTTGAAAGCAAACTTTCCTGACCCTTCTTAAAGAGGAGAGTTGGAGAGTTTCTTGGTAGTACCCCTTTTTGCTTTTATAGTGCTTCCATGACCTTCTCTCATTATCTATTTTGTTGCTCAAAAAACCCCACTTAAAACCAACAGGGAAGGGAGCTGCAAAGTTTCATTAGCAGAATACTCAGCTAAGTTTAAAATAAGTAGACCAAAATTTTGAGGATCAAGATTTGTAAGGATTTCTGTAAAACGGGAATGAGGCAGGCCAGAAAGAATGAAATAAATGGATGACAGGAATTAATAATAAAAAGAGTGATTTTCCAACCAAGTAAAACTTTAAAAACAAGTAAAACTTAAACAAACAAAAATTCCCCCAGCCCCACCCCTTTTGAGATTAAACACCATTTCTTGGCTTAATAAATGTTTGCTTTTAAGGACAAGCATTTTGAATCTGCATTACTTTTACTTCTTATTACCAACAAAATGATATTTCCTACTTAAGGCTCCTAAGACATAAGCTGCTTTCTAAAAGAGTTGCACAGCTGTTTTACAGAAGATCTAAAGTGCAACGTTACTATTCCACGTATTACCACATCAGAATGCCTGTCTGCAGACAACTAAACTGAGCTGTTATGTCTGGTCTTCTACAGCAGCTTATCTTTCATATTAGTAAATAAAACACCCCAAGGAAATTACAGTTAGAGAGCTGAGATTAAAAGAAGGCTCCATTACATTTACATCCTCACACTTAGAACTTCATGTGAAATCGCCCAGGAGTGTTGAGGCCACGCAGGCTCTCAGCACAGCTGCAAGCAGCAGTTAAACACAAGGTTCCCATGGGCTGGTGCTCTCACTACTAGAGAGGCACAGCTAGGAAAATCAGGATTTACACATTTACCTGATACCTTCCTTTTCAGTGAAGAGATCTAGAAGGCAACACTTTGTATGTGAAAACAACTGAACCATATTTCAGCTGAAAATGCTAGTCTTAAGCCTGACCAGGCATATTTAAAGGAAATTAATAAATATGTAGGTGGGCATAGAAGCAAGAGCACAAAACACTCAGTGGGGTGTAAAGACCAAATTCCCTCAATCTCTTGGTTATTCTATTGCCCTTCAAGTTACCACTTAATGCACACATCTACAGTAACATGGATCAATAAAAGGAATATTCCCTTGTCTGCTTTGTTCCTCAGGGACAAAGAGCAAAGGGTCTTGGAGCACCCAGATAGAACTCATTCATTACTTTAACATCCTAAATGTAATGGGAGAATGGCATGGAAGTCTGACAGCCACAAAAACCAACTCCAAAGCAGCCTTGTTGCACAGACACATGAGGATTTTGTGCAATATAGGACCAACAAAATTCGACATTTTTAGAGCAACTCAGGGCTCCAGCACCTGTGGATGTTATTGACTTATGACTGTACACTAAGGAGAGGTGAACATGCAGAGATGCCCTCAGGAGGTTTTATGTTCACAGAATGATCACAAATGTTCCAAAAGCAAGAGATAACTAATGGTTGAAGCAGTAATGGGGAGGGGCAGTGGGGAATAAAAATCCAGCATTTTACTAATAGAACTGTTCCTATTTCCTTTCAACAGGTCTCTTCATTCAGACCAGTGGCCTCACAGGGGAGAAACAGAAAGAGATGCTGCAGAACAACATCAAACACCAAAAAATCAAGAAGGGGAACAATAATAAAGGCACAAAACTAACTGCTGTTTTCAAAAAGCACTAATCACATTAGAGAGCAAAAATTAAAACATATTAGAGTATTTCCCTCGGATTTGTGGATGAAAGAACAAAGCAGTAGGTTCAAACAGCTTCCCATGACAGTAAAGGCAATCCACAGGATAAATATAGCACTTTATGTAATTTAAAATAAACAAAAATTATCAGAAAACCACCAAGATCCATATCATTCAGGGAAGGCAAAAATGCAGACAGATTCTATGTAAGAACTTAAATTTTCTTTGGTAGGAAAGAAACTGCTAACTTAAAACTAAATGTTTCATTTAAATAAGACATATAAGTGAATCACAGTAATTACAAAATACTTATACACAGCAAAACAGTTTTACAAATATTACTTTCAAGATAATAATTTTAGATTAGGACGAAATTCTTTACTGAGAGCATGGTGAGGCACTGGCAGTAATTACCCAAGGAACTGGCAGTCTTCTCACCCTTAGAATTGTTCAAAGCCAGGCTGGATGGAGCTCTGAGCAACCTGGCCAGGTGGAAGGTGTCCCTTGTCCAAGCAAGGTGGGGGCTGGAACTTACTGATCTTTAATGTCCCTTTCAACCCACTATTTTAATTACTGTACTATCCAAAGCAAAGTAAACCCGAAAATTATCTGCTCACATTTCAGAGGAAAACTTCTCACAATTATGTACTACTGTTCCTCTTTTGTATTTGAATTTTGTATTGATACTTAGATTCAGACTCAGCAAAAGACCAACAGTGTCACAGAAAGAGACATGAAAATACTTCCATGACAAACTGAACTGTGACGAGAACCAGCATCCTGTAAGAAAGATTTCTTACAGTGAGATTTTCTTTTGGCAAAGCAGGGGAGTTAAATTTAACTATTTAATAACAGAGTACATGACACTGTTCTCCCATTTCAGCTCCCTTTGCTCCAAATGCTGCTCTATGAGGTGAGGCCTAGAAGGCATGCTGACAGATCATTTGTGTGTCTTATATGCTAATGGTGTGGGGGGAAGCTTTTGCAAGAGATGCATATTATATGTTCCACAGGGATCAGGTAATCACTGAGTTAAATGGAGTCTTCAGCACTATCAGGACCAGTCTGCTTTTTCCTGAAGTGGCAGAACAAAAATAAAATTCTTAATTTTTTTATCTGTGGTACACTTTGGAGCCAGAAAGTTTATTAAATTTATTTTTGGAAGTAAAACAGTCTGTATGCACAACAGAAGTATATAACACATTTCATAATAATGATCTGATAAACCAGTGAGCTGTCTCTTAACTGTGTTTTTTAACAACTTGCAAGAAACTGATGCACAGGAAGTTCCACCTGGACATGAGAACTTTTCTGTGCAGTGACCATGCACTGGAACAGATTGTCCAGAGAGGCTGCGGAGTCCCCCTCACTGGGGATATTCCAGAACCACCCAGATGCAATCCTGTGCCATGTGCTCTGGGATGGTCCTGCCTGAGCAGGGAAGTTGGGCCAGATGACCCCACTGTGGTCCCTTTCAGTCTGACCCATCCTGTAATTCATATACTCCTTAAGTACCTGGAAGGGAAGTCTAGTGCATTAGGTAGTGCAAAAAATACATGCAATTAATAAAAAAAACCCCTTGGCAACAGAGATACCATTTTATTACATATACAGTGCTATATCCACTTGAATATGGATAAACAAATTCCAAATGAAACAAATAAAAAACCAAAAATCTCTAGGATGTAAAGATCATTAATTAGCATATTGAAGTTAAAAAACCCAATCAGGGCATGTCATATATTTGATGTTTTATTGATGGGAATGCAAATATAACCATGGCATAATCACAAAACAATTAGTAACATTGTCTTAAAAAGCAATTTCTTAAAAACATCTGCAATCATCTATAACAAATACACTTAACATTTGAATCCTTATATCTTTAATCAAAATACTCTTATAGATGTATATTAGGGATGGATAATAAAAACCCAACATCAAACTTTAATATAAAAAAAATGGCAGTAATGCCTGCAACTAGGCAACTAGAATCAGTAGGTATTTTATGTAGCTGGATTTCAGGAAGTGCTGATTATTTTCTCTGGCAAATAAATATTCCCATTTCCTCAAAAGGTGTCCCCCCAAAAAAGCAGAGGGGCATTTACTAATGTCTAATTATCACTTAAACCTCAAATGAATGCAGATGTTTATTTTTAACACAATTTTTTTTTTTTTGTATTTGCTCTCCAGTCACAAGATTCAATTTAATTAATCAATGTGCATACCTGAGGTGCTAGGTTGTCTACATTCAGTTTTCCTGGAAGAAATACTAAACTGAAACAAGTCAATACAGGATATTTTAGCTGAAATGTTCATCTCCAAATCATTCTTCCTTTCCAAGAAACTTGTTCACCTACTGACAAAGGGCATAAAAGAACCTCATAGATCCTTTATTTATCTCTCATGTCTTCATTGCTTGCATCTGACCTGTTAATAAAAAGAAATATCTAGTCTTAGCACAAGATTAATTCTTACTGCGTTTTGCTTTTTGAAAACATAAAACCCATCTAGATATTTTGGTGTAGTTACAAGAATGGGGGAACAATGAGGAGCTGTTTTCAACTTGCTCTCTCATCCACTTCTGAAATTCCTGTACAGCCAAGTTGTTTTTCCCAAATCTTGCTAATTTAACAGGAAGACTCTTCCACTTAATACAATTTTGATCTTCTTCAGGATTATAAGATTACTTTGATGACCATGAGACCTGGTAGTTTGTTTTATGAAATATGAAGTTTTATGAAGTATGCACTTCAATTCCTTGTAGGCATTTTGGCTTACACCTAAATGAACATAAACCACCCAATAGCAAAAGATTTAGTTTGGTTTCTAATAACTGACATGAAACTCTGCTGTCAGTAGGCACACTCCTCCATATTACTGCCTGATTGTCACTTCTCTACTCACTTCAAATGTTTTCTTGGTTACCAAAAAGCATCCAGCATCCCTTTACAAAATGTGGAAATCAGCACAATTTCCCCCACTAAGGGGGAATGTTGTGAGACAGGTTTGTTTTATCCTGTGGAGGATGTGCTGTTGCAAAAGCAACCCCATTACAAAATAAGGAAATAACAAACTCGGTCTTCAATAGGGAAAAAAACACACCACCCTGCCACCCCAGCTGTGAAGTGGGTCTGGAAAGGGTAATTAAGGAAAGCTTGGCTGCTGACAAGAACTAATTCACCAGGTGGCATTTCATCCTCAATTTTATGGCATCCCCAGGCTGTGATTTAGGGACTACCATAACTACAGAGTTGTTCCAAATATTTCCATCTGGTGCTCTAGGAATGAGAATCAAGGGTAAAAAATTGTCCTTGAAATATCAAAGTATTCAGCCTTTAAACATATAATCACCAAACTACATGTGCTTAGGTAACAGTTTAAACTCAACCCCTCTTTTAAGCTCTTGGGTTCACTGAACCAGGGAATTAAAGGAAATTTTCAGATAGAGCCCATCCATGAGGATTTTCAGCTCAGAAAATTAAGAAATTTAACACTCCATAAGAAGTGAATGGCTGTGAAGAGCTATGTGAGTGACAGCAGAAGCATCTGTGACAGCATCTGCTGCTGTGCTTAAAAAATTCTACATATATAACTTAAATATTTTGTTAGAAAATATTTACACAAGCATTTGAGATCCTTTTAAGTAGCATGAAGCCATGTACAAACCCAAAATTTGGACTGAAACTCTAAATGTTCCCCCAAGAGAAGCAGAGACTGAACACAGAAAGAAGACATTACTAAGCCAGAACTATGCCTGAAATTAGGGAAAATTAGGATTTGGAATCTGCCTCTATGATGAGAGGATACGGGAGAGGAAAAACCCAATACCAAAATCCTGGTTCCCCAACAGAATTATTTTGGCTGGTGGAGGATACATCACTGCTCTTCCGTAGGGCGGTAAATCTCTTTCTAAAGACTATTTTTGGCAAGCAGCCCTCCCTCTGAAAACATCACCTAATGTTTTTGTACTCTACAATAACTCGGTAGAACAAACCATCTTGTCCTGGTCAGCAGGACGAGTCTAAGCAGCAAGGACAGCCTGGTGTCCCCAGCAGTGGGGATGGGTTCACCCGGCCAGGGCTGGCTGTCAGCCTGCTGAAGGAGGCTCTGTCCCCGGGCCAGCGCTGACACCCCGCGGCCAGCGGGGCACAGCACAGCCGGCTGTAGCCGCACCACCCCAGGCACTTCACAGCACAAGCAACGCCAGCCAGGGAGCTAAAACTGGGACCAGGCTGCCGAAACTATGCCACACTTCACTAATCTAAACACTGAGCAGGACGACAAGAGAGACCAGAGCCTTAGCAGCACACAACAGAAGGAGACACAACATCTGTACCAAGTTTTTAATTACACAACATCTGTACCAAGTTTGTAATTAAAGATGCTGGATGTCAGTCATCATCTGAGCTGGATCTAATATTTTCTTCCATGCAGTTATGAGTATCTGCATGTCCTATAATCGTTATAGTGTAAGAAGTTCTTCTTTTGGCTCTGGATTAAACAGCCGAAGGTGTATAATTAATACCAGTGTATTTGTCTGTGTACCTGGCACCCTTTCTTGATATGTAACATTAAGTTATGTAAAACAGAGACCGGACATTAAAAATAAATTAAAGAAGAAACTGAACTACCACAATAAGAAATGAAGCATGGGAGCTGGTATTGTATAAATGAAAGTGCTACACTGTTTGCAAGAGTGTGCATTAGTATTTCATAATACACACTTTGGTCAGGGAAGCCCACATTATGTTTTGTGTACATTAAGGAGGTAAATGAAAGGCAAATGATGAGATAGAGCTTTAGTACTCACTGTGTAATTTGATCTGACAGCAGAAATGGACAGAAAGAAAACAAAGGAAATAATAAAGAAAAAACCTTACAAAATGAAAGAGTTTAAAAGAATGAAAATACAGCAAGAGAATTACGTATGATATACCTTGGAGCCAATCCACACCTTCTTGTAATCCTTCTCCTTTAAGAGCATCACTGGCACTGAAAGAAACAAATCAAATTTCAAAAAACATTGTAAAAATACCAGTTTTAGTTGAGTCATCGCCAAACTTGTAATTTACATAATTGCAAAGTAGCATCAAGAAGTTTCCTTAGGTTTTCTTCCTATAGAGAAGACTGCTCCTCAAATAATATAGAGTACCTTCCCCACAGGGAAACATAATTTCATTATGTGATCTTTTTTAATTCCAGTTTCAAGGCACAAAGAATCATTCCTAGAACATGAGGGGCTCTGGAGAGCTCCCACACAAGGCAGACACATTGTTCTGCAGCACCTCCCTCCCCAGACAATGCTGTGAAAGACGTTTACTCCCTCCAACAGCAGCCATGAATCATGGAATCATTTAGGCTGGAAAATACCTTTAAGATGATCAAACCCAAATGTTCTCCATGCAGTTCCTACACAAAGTGAGATTGTTGGAGTACTGGAAGAAGGAATTATGTGTGTATACACACTGCATTGTAACAGCAACCCCAGGAGTGTCTGTTAATGTATAGAACTATTCTGTCACACTGAGAGCAGTGTAAATCCACCTTCTGAATCACTGGGGGATAACTGTTTAAATGCTCTTCATTTATGAAAACCCGCACAACAGTGAATCTGGACTATAACTGCAGTTCCCTATAAAATGATCTTCCAAGAAACTCAGGAATTCATGAGTGTGATTTCTGAACAAAAACAATGTTCAGGTAATCAAGTTTAACATTAAAGTGCTTAAAATAAAAACTGTAGCTTTCAGCAGCATTTAGCTGCTGATTTCACTTTTATTTATAACAGCTGAAGACCTTAATAGGACAAAAAACTAACTTTTATAAAGCAGTTCTGGTAAAAGGAGGATTTTTTCCTTGTGAACACCAGCACTAAGTAAAGCTTACATCCTTCAGAACAAAAGACTAGCTCCTACAACTAAAAATCCCCTCAAACATGACTAAATGGCCTTTCAACAACAGTTTACTGAAGCACCTGCTGAATGAAAAAAAACACAAAAAACTCCAAAGGTTTTATTATTGATATTCTCAAACCTGCAAGGTAATCTAGCAGGAGCACTCTGATAACAATTCTACTAAATTTCCCAGTAAAATGTAATGTCAACTGTTCTCTTATCAACCCCGCTTTTTGATTTCACTGGAAAACCTCCATTCCATTACTTGGCTAATAGTTCTGCTGTGAAAACTTTAAAGACACAGTCTAAATGCATGCACTGTACATTTAGAATAAGTTTGACCGTAAGTATTTTAATATTACTGCTTTCAATTTACTGTTTCACATATGGAATCTGTCTTTTATCTACTCCATTTATTTTATACAGCAGTGAGTGGCATGATAGGGCTAAAATAGGAATGCACAAAGTAATGCAAATAAAAGGATAGAAAAAGAGAACTTTACCAGATATGCCAGGGCTTGTCTTTGATGTTTTCTAAGGACAGCAACTGAGACACTTTCACAGATGACACTGCATCCCTAAGGTCCATCTTGTTAGCAAAGAAGAGAATAGGCAGCCGACGGTGCTTAATGTCTAGGCATGAGCAGAGACAGAGCTCAGGACATGAGGCAACACTCAATCTCTGCATGTAACAAGGTACAAACAACACAGGGAGGCATTTTGCTCACCTGTAGCTGCAATTCTCTGAAGGTTGTATCCTACCAAGATGCACATACTGTTGGGTCACCTGGCCTCTGCTGCATGCTTCCAAAATGTTCACAAACTTCCTTGCAGGCATTGGAACTTTCCACCCCCCTCTCCCCCTACCTTATACCCACACTTCAAGCTGGAGATTGGAATTGCTGGTGAAGCTGAGGGAACAAGAGATCAAACCACTGCCTACAAACACTGCACATCTCTGCTTACTGAGGACTGGATGTATACAATGGATGGAAAAAATAATTTGTGTTCATTCATAATGTCACAACAATAGTTCAGAAGGGTAGTCTGAATTATCCTTTAGTGTCCTGGAAAGCATCCATTACTTCATAGAATTTATACAATTGGAAAAAAAAAATGCACATGTGGACATCCTTTATTTTCCCTTTCCTAGAAGGACTTCTCCAGAAGCTCTTTCAGCTACCAGTGAGCACTACAGACCAAGCAAAGTACTTTGGCAGTTTCTGGAATACTGACACATAGACAAGTTTAAACCTCACAGATTACCCCAAAAGACTACATGGTGATTGAAAGGAAACAAAACATATTTTTTCAAAGTTGCAGATGCCAAAAAAATTACCAGCGCCAAGACTAACTCTCAAAGTTTTCATATTATTTATACAAAGAATGATATCCAGGACTAGAGAAAATCTAGGTTTTAGCCTATCCATCAGTGCTTGATGGGAAAAGAACTTACATACCACCACTTCAATGAAAATTGCTACACAGGATCTTTTTAAAATAGTAAAAAGAAAAGGTTATGTCACACAGGAAACTAGGTAAAGATTTATTTTAAAATGTCAAACATAAACCATCCACCCCTGCGGATGGGCAGGAGAATGATAAAACCCCCAAAATCCCAACCTTCAGTGCTGAAATGGTTTGAACTTTCCCAATTATGCTCTTTTCCACCTTCCTACTAAACCTTTCCACAGAAACAGTGGAGATAACACTACTTCCCCATATTCATTCGGAGATTGTAAGTGCAGATCAAAACACAGACAATTTTCACTAACTATTTACCCTTCCTGGAGCTCTTTTTTCCTCTGATATCCATAAACACAGATCAAAGGCCTCAAAATACAAGCACAGTATAATTAAATCTCTGTTTTGATTCCATAGTTGAACAGCTATTGAGTCTCCTGACTGAAATTCTTAGAGTAATTTACAGTATAATTAAATGAACCCTGGTACTCACAGGTTGCAGGTTATGGGTAAATTAAAACCACATAAATTAGCTGACATCATATATGCAAACAGCCAAGTTAATCAAAGAATTTCCAGTGTTTTCCTAAACAATTAGAAAGGGGCACAACCTACCCACCCGGACTCATAATGCACACCCAAAGATATTTCCTAAATAAAGTCATGGTCACAGAAATTTATATTATTTCCTCATGTGCAGTATTTCCCTCCCACAATTTTCACAGTTACTAATGGAAAGCAAACACTTTCTAGCTGCAAGTGGTTATGAATGAATACATTTAAAATTATTCCAGATACTAGATGTGTGATGTGCTATTTTACACAAATAATTTGAAGTTTACAATAATTTCAGTTTAATTTAGAAGCATGTGCTGGAGGTGAAGTGACCCAAGAGTCATAATCTAATCCAGGTAATCTATGGCTACCACCTTTCAAAGTGCTGAAGAATGAAATTTGAGTAAAAAACCAAAATATGATACAGTTATCGTTATATAAGAATGCATTGTCCATTAATGTAGGTAAAAATAATTTATAGCTCTGATTCACACAAGTCCCAGCTAGTACAACTTTTAACCCCATTAATGCTTCATAGGACACATTCCTTTCCCTTTCCCTCAGGCAAAGCCTGGCAAAAAGACAGGAAACTGTTTTACTGCGGGACTGCTAAGATTTTCAGAGACACGTATTTATTCAATTCCATGTAAAACTTGGGTAAATGCATACATTTAAACCACTCCAGGAGAATGACACTGTCAGAAGCATAGACTGGGAGAAAGAAGGGTATGCAGCAAGAAGGGCAGAACACTAATACAAATAAAAGAACTGATATAGCAAACTAGTTGTATATTGATTCACCTAACAGCTACTTTTATTGAACATTATCCTAGAAGAACTTTTTAAGCTCTTTGATATATCAAAACTGATAAATCAGTGACACTGTTGCTGTGTTGGAGCTAAGCCACTCCGAGGCAGAAATCCACAACTGCTGTCTCCTGGTTCTCAGGACTGCACCCTGTGGCCAGAGCCTGGGTCTTTTGAACTTGAAGACACAAATTCATGAACAACTGAACAGCACTGACCAGCTAGGTCAGCTTTAGTGACCTGTTAATGCCCAAATGAAAAGCCCCACCGAAGGTTGCTTCTACTCTGTCTAAACATTTTATTCTTCTGCCCTCTGTTAAACCAGTAACATCTTCCAGCAGCTTTAGCTCCCAGCCTTGACCGTGTGTGGTTCCACTTTACTAACAGAAATGGGTTTTATTGCTGCAGTTAATTCCTGACTTGGTACACAGTGCCCTGGCCTCTGTGTAATCCACCTGCAGCCTTTGGCTCACCTCATCCTCCCTGTGACTTAACACTGTCTTTTCAGGGTCTGCATTTGAAGTACCTCATACCCTTCAATGAGAAATTAGAACATGAGAATAAGAAGGTCTATCAGCTCCAGCATCTTTGTTGATGAATTAAAGTGTTACATATAGTCTTCACTTATTATGGGAATATATTTGTCCTTATCATACATTTATTTTTCTTAGAAAAGCAACTCAGCTTTTCCTTTCTTATTTTCAGCATGGGAATCTCAAAAGTTAAGGGTCTATCAGTTTAATAAATAATTAAGGAATCACAGGATTATTTCACTTTTAAACTTCCCAGATGTAGTTTAATATTCTGGTTAGGCAGAGCAACTACCTATAGTGCTGAAAGTCAAAATTGCATATTGTTTACAGACACATCCCAGTAATGCTGGATATATGGAAAAGCAAAGAATTGACTGATATCAGAACTTAATTAAGGTGCAGTCTCATATAAAAAAAATCCAAGCCAAACCCCTAAAAACAAGACCCTGATCACAAATCCTCTCATATCCTCTTCCTAAGGAATTAAACTGACTGGTATAATTATCCCTCCATATTTCCAGCTAAAGCATAAAATTTATAATGAAGATGACAAAAGAAAGCTATGTATTATATTAAAGCAATTAGCTGTCTTCATGGAAGAAATGGACAGGGAGACACAGTTTTGTCTGCCCTGGTCAACACAAGAAACTTCTCCAGCTTCCAACTCAAAGTCTATTCTTTCTTAAAACAATGTAACTTTTGATCTATATTGATTAATAAGAGACCAACCCAACTCAGTGTAGAAAGCTGAAGTGTGACCAATTTATAAATGTGAATAGGTAAAAAAACCCCCAACAGGTTTTGAAGACTATTGCTGTGCTAATATTCATGAAAGGTTAAAATACTTCCAAAGTATTAAGAATGTGTCAGATAAGGGCTTTTCTTAAGGCAACACAACAAATATGGACACAGAAGGGGAAAAAAGCCTCCTCACCTGGATGATTCAGAAGGGTGTCAAGTTCTTCTTTGGCCACAACCATTCTTAATTTGTCACTGCTATCAATGACAAAAATAATGGCTTGGCCTTCTCTGCATAACATAAAAAGAGCAAAGAGGCAAATTATAGGTTCTCAAAGAAATGAGTATTCTGTGAATAAGAAAAGGCTTCAGAAGAAACGCCATGAAAAAAGTCCAAACAAACCTGATTTTTTCTCTAATTTTTGTCATTGTTATTTACCATTAACATTTGAATCCAGTCTTATTTCTGAAATTCAGTCTTTTGATGACATGCATAGTTTGTTTAGAAATGAGGTTGTTGCCTGCCCCTACAAGGTTTAGTCTCCACACACCTTCTAGAAAAGCTTGGTTTTACTAACCAGACAGAAAGATGAACTCAAAATGTAACCAACTGCTATTTTGACATTGTGGTCAGGCAGGAAAAAAAACCCATAAAGGCAGATCTTTATAGAAATTCTGTATTTCCTGTACTAAAGTTTTATTTAGAGAAAGGTCAAGTACCCTTTTAGACAAAACCTGTGTCCACAGCCAGGCATATGCAGGTTATTTTAACCTTTACATATCCTGCATAAACAGGATTTTTTTTTTTTTCAAGTAACAGGGAAAAACATTCAGCTATTTCAAATCATTAGGACATTTTGTTGGTAGTGTGACCACAGTCACAACATAAATGCAGCTACTCAACTCATTATTTCAGGATGTTTACTGATATTTTGACTTGATGTTCCATTTATTGAAACTTGTTTTGAAAACCAAATAAAATCTCACCATAATTCATAATTCACCTGCTGTAAATACCCACAGAATGTATATTTACTTTACATTTTAATGTAATATTCACTTCTACTTCATTTTATATTTCTCTTAGGCACCATTATGAATACATTCTTTACCCTCCAGCACCATCTATCTTTGTATTTTGTTAACAAACAGTTCTATTCCTGCTGGAAACCAGAAATTACCTAAGTAGCCCAAGACTGTAAGAGATAGGCCTATTCTTACTTTAACCCTTAGTAAATAAAGCTTTTGCATATTAGTTGAAAATGCCCAAGCAATTTTCCTGAGCATTGAGAATTTGACCAGAGGAATCAAAAGTATTGGCATGTATTTACCACCAAAAAAATAAGTTCACAAAGAAGTAACAGGAATAGGGACACAATATGACTTTGGGATTATTTAAGAAAAATGTACTTAGAGGATGACCTAGAAGATACTTTCAAGCTAAATAGAAGAAAAGTCCAGACTTGAAGGACTCCAAGGCTACTACTACGACACTTGCCCAGATTTAATTTCCTGCAAAATTAAATATTGCTTATCTTTATAAACTGAACAGCACATAATTATTTTATTGATATTTTTATTTAATTAATTTAAATTGTTTTAATATTATTCTTAGAAGTTAATCTTAAATATGTGCCTACTGCACTGGATCAGGAGCAGAGGTGGATAAAAGTACATATTTCACTGTCAGCATAGCCTAAAAAACTCCCTTACTGTTAGGGAGTTATTGTTAAGATAAAAAAGCCATTTGTGCCCCACAAGGGATAAGTAACTGCATTAAATACAGCAATCACAAAAATTATTTGCTTATGAAGCACTCTGCTAGAATTTTGAGAGCAGCCTGAGGGCATCAGTTTACTGAAATGCAAATCTAACACTTGAACAATGAAGGTCCCCTGGCCAAATGTTTTCAATGCTAACACAATTTGCAAAGGAAGGAGAGAAAGCATTAATCCTCAATTAAAAAAAAATTAAGCTCTACCACAACTGATACTAATATTTAATAAATATTATAATTTTCAGAAATTCTCCCTTCTATTTCTCCAAGATATTTCTGCATGGTTTAGTATTGTTTTCTTCATTAAGAATGTTCATTCAGGTATTTAGTTACGTGTGCCTTATCCTCTGAGGTTCATTTCCCTCACCTCTAAAAATCTCAGCCATCAGCCAGTATCTTTCAGGTTTTAAGCAGTTGAATTACAGAAGAACTGAAAAGCTGGAAACCTAACTCATCTTGAGCTTTCTTACGGGATTGGTTTTCAGGTTTCAATATTTAAATCTCATCTCTATTATGTTACCCGAAGATGTCCCTGAAAGCACAGAGTAATACCAGATAAAAATTATCATGTGTTAGAATAGAAAGTTTGATTTACCCAGAGTGAAACTTCTGTCAAACACAAGGTATAAGCCTTCTCTGAATAATTTATAACCACTAGATATTATCAATTTTCTGTTTAAGTAACCTACACAACAGTTAATATGAACAGCAATGCTTTAAAATAAATTAGGCTTACTTGTAGTAGTGTTCCCAGAGGTCTCTGTATTTCCCTTGACCTGACATATCAAATACTGTGAAAGACAAACTGCAAAGAAAAGAAGTGCATGAGGCCCAGAAAAAAGAACAAAACCCAAACCACATCAATTTTCTTTGCTACTCTGGCAAAAAAAAACCCAAACAAACAAAAGCCAGATCAATTTGAATCTCAATCAACTGAGAAAAAATTCTCAAAGGAACTCTGGTTCCACTGACTTCAAATGATCCTACTCAGCTTTTCAGTCTTATTATAAAAATATTTCACAATGGAGAATGTGTTTACTACCTGAATAAAAGAAGTAAACCAATTATTTTAACTTACATCAAATGCAAAATAAGTTCCCATTCAGCCTCTCTATCACGCTGGTATAAAATACTGTTTACGTATAAGTGAAATTCAGATGAACCATGACTTAAAGTCCATGGCCTGTTTTAAATTCTGTCCCTACATAGGTATAAATGTGGGCAAAATAAAAGGGTTTAAAAAAAAAATCCACCTTTAGGGGAAAAAAAAAAAAAAAGAGTACATTTTGGTAAAAACAGGTGAGTTCAGATGGCCAAGCTACAAAGAGCAGTCTTTGCCACTGTGAGATTTCACCCAAACACTACATACAGCAAGGCAACTTACTGAACACTACAAAAAGTTCTCATCTGCTCCTGAAATGTTTACAGGGGCAACATTGAGTTCAGAACTAGGCTCTCCATTTTTGGGTAGCCCCAAGTAGCTCCCCAAGTGGAGGCCACCAAAACAAGGATGTTAGGAAAAGGAAGCTCTCCAGACATCCTTTCACTCTATATCCAGACACAGAGTTGTGGGTTTATCAGTTTGTACAGTTTGAGGTTTTGGGGTGGGTTTTTTTGAGGTTTCTTTTGTTTATTTTAAACATTCTACATGCTGTATTTACAGGTCATCACTTCCCCTGCTACAGGATCAGAATAAAAAAAAAAAACCAATATAAATTAATTTACATTCTCACATGGGAAGTCCCAAACTTGTCTGATGTACTTTATTGGGACAGAGCTCAGCTGTGGAAGCTCTTAGAGAAATATGAAACTTCTCAGTATAAGATATCAGCTCAAAGAATAAACAATTTTCTCAGCTCAAGGAACAATTTTCTTGAACATCTCCCACCCAGTGAGGCTATACTGCTTGGTTTGAAGACTAACTGCACACACCAAAAACATCCAGTGAAGGCCACAAAATAATAGAATTATGCTGCCTCCTTGATATATCCTCGTGTCATGACATTCTTAATCTAAATCTTAGTCTTCATTCAACTAATGACTTATTGCTCTGTTTCCTGGCCTTTGCTCCTGCCACCTTTACATTGCTAATGTTGTAGCCATCCTTTTGCATTTAATGAGATTACACTGCAATCTCTTCAGAGTACCTCCAGTGAGAGTGCTTAATATAGGTTACCAGATTGAGAATGGAATTTAAGCTGCCACCTCAGCAGCTGTCTCTCCTCTAGTCTGTAACAGTGCCCTATTCTGAAACTCTCAAAAGACAGTGAGATGTTTATACATGCTACTGAAAAAAAACCTAATTTTTTTTTTTTAATTTAATAGGCTTATAGCAGCACAAAACACACATTATATTCTAACACAATCCTGGATCATGATTAGGTCTTATGGGTACTACATTTCAACAAACTGCAATGTGATGTCAATTACACCACCACACATGTTACAAAAACACTGAAAGAGATAATTAAGTGCAACTACTGTATAAAAATCACTACTTCTATTGAAGAAAAAAAGTACTACCTTGAAGTTTTGAATTTCTCTATACTGAATCCTATTGTTGGAACGATGTCCTGAGTTTGAGCCTTTGAAGGAAAGAGAGAACAAATTTTACAATCAAATTAGAAAATGCAAATACTGAAATATATTTGAAACATGAATAAATTATAGATCTATTTTTACTCCAAACTGTGCAATATTAAAAAAGTTCCCATAAAAGTAATTCAGAATCAAGGGTTTTGTATTTTCTGGGGAATAAACACTAGTGGAATTGCCAAAGCACAGAGCATTACTAAGAGATCTGTCTGATAACTGATTTACTACTGAGCTGGTCAAGGAACCTCTCAGCTAAGTTGGTGGAAAAGAATAGCTCCTCTAAGAAGCATCGATATTGAGCAGGAGGAAAGGTCACATCCCATAGATTACAGAGCTGTCTGAGAAAGTGACATGCAATCCTTGCACAGACTCCTAGAGCCCCTTATTCCAAACACCATCCATAGGCAGGTCCAGAAGAAACAGCTGCAGAGAGATGGAAAAACATCTGGATTTGCCAGGTCCCAGTATATTGCTCCTGGGGTAAAGCAGAAGCTCTTAACAAGACTGGGCTGACCCACAGCTCAAAATCACCCGTCCAATGAACTTATTAAAAATAAACAGTTTTATTAACTTTGATCTAATGACATTTGTTGCATGCTAGACTATTTGGCATGTCTGGCGAAAGTAGGACTTCTACAAGTTGGATGCAAAGTTATCCTTCTATAAATTCTCATTACAAATAAATTCTATTTATTCTACTCATGTAATTCCACTGAGAGCTTTTCTAATGCCCATTATTGTGATAAATCTTCAAGTCTGAGTTCAACTATAGTTAGGAATCCTTTACTGCTTGAGGCATGACATAAAAACCCTCTACAAAAAAGGTCTCAGGTTACAATGTGTACCAGGTAAATTGCACTTTATGTAATTACTTTCTCCCAAACAACTGGCAGCAGATATCAAGGAGTTTATAGTCTGTTTATAAATCTACTCAATTTTCAGTGGAAGAATAATTGCCAGGAAGAGAAGAGTAGCAGAGGCTTCACTATGTCACACTTTTTAAACAATGTCCAGTGAACTTATCAGGTAAAATTCAATGAAAATTAATAATAATAAAAATAAAAGGCTGTGTCCTGATATAAACAGCAATCAGTTTCCCGGATGCAAGTAACCAAGATGCACAACCTTTGCCTTTGAACATGCCAACCCAAATTCATCTATTTCTAGTCCATAAAAATATCTTGAAATAAGGATCCTACTTTCAGAATATTAGGCACTCCTAGTGGCCTCAAACACTTTTCACTGGATGAATGAACTGCGAACATTAATGGTACTTATTTTGAAAATTATTTTGCTTTAAAAATAGTGAAGTCACTCTTAAATGTGCATCTTATTTTTATTTCTTATTTTGTTATCTCTTATCCATTTATTATTTTTCAGGAAAAGATTAAAATGAGCGTGATAAGTTGTACAATTGTATTAATCCTAAATGTTCAACATCACTTGTAACTGCAATCTTGTGACAATTACTTAAGTGATTTAAGTGACTGTGATTTAAGATCCTGATTTCAGCCATCATAAACCCTTCCTTGTTGGATGATCTTAACAAAAGTGTACCTTGTTAACAGCAGGGTTTATAGTGTGTGTGTGAATGCTTACCCTTAGTTTTAGTTAGTTGGAAAATCTTAAAATATATTTGTTCCACTGTGCTAAATCACAAGCTCTCCACATCTTTTCCATGGGCACATCCTTTGTAACAACATGCAAACCCAGATCAAACAAACACCCACAGTGAACCAAGCAGGCTACTTACATTGGAAGGTTTAAGTTTATTGATGATCGTTGTTTTGCCGCTGTTGTCCAGGCCAAGGCACAAGACGTGAACCTCCTTTTTCTTCAGCCCAAGCCATCCTGCCAGCTTGTCAAACAATCCCATGGCTGTGGCTGGAAATCCCAGGGATCACCTGCTGTTCAGGGAATCAGAGCTGTTGGAAAAGCGCTACATGCAGGGCAGCGCTGGCAGTGAGGGTGGGCATGGGGCTGAGCAGCCTCCCACCTGGGAGCAATGGTGTGAGCAGGACCCTACACAAACACTGTGCCAGGGGCTGGCTCTGCACATAAGCACATGGAGGGTAAGCTGATTACAGCCAGGATACCAAAGTAGACTGGCTGTTTATAGCCCTGTCTATAGCACACGATGCCCTTGATTCACTGGGCAGAAAATGTTCTGAGCAGCCCAAACAGGGGCACAAAGCAGTGCCACCAGGGCTCCCACCAAGCTAAGCAAAAACAAAAGGAGGGTCATTATCTTCACACTGTCAGCAGTACACCTTTCAGACAGGAAAACAGTATTTCCCTTCTTCAGCACCTGCTAATTTACTGAACCCTGCATTAAATAAAGCACTCTCTTTTAATTCATTTCAAACCCTAATTCTAACAGGTTTTGCCAATATTGGCATGTATAAATTAGGAACTCTTCATTCACCACAAACAGAAACTGATTGAAATAGACCTAACAGACATCAAAACATTCACCCACACGTCACAGAGATGGCAAACCTCTGCTGCTGCCCAGACCCTGGCTGAAGTTGCCTGCCAGTGGCACATTCAAAGGAGCTTTCATCATGTGTTTCCCTGCAATAATGCACACTGCAAAGAGGATAACCCTTGTCTGCCCTGAATGAATTCCACTAGAAATAATTTCAGCAATCTGAAACCTTTGAGATGCCTCGAATAACAAAGTATTTAATTCATGTCAGAGGATTTCTGGAGTGGTGAAGGCTGCTTTTTTTTATTAATAAATTAAAAACACACAACACTGGACAACTCTGAGGCAAGTTGAGGAAATCACAGCAGGAGGGAGAAAGGGTAAAAAAAACCCATCAATAACAAAGCTTTGATCACACTTCTTCACTAATTGATTGCAAAATGATGGTTAACTGCTTTTTTATTTTAAACGTTGCATTTAATAAAGTCACACAAGTAACCATTCTGGCTAAAGCATGATTTTTTTTCCTTTTTAAATACAAATATTTCATAGAGCTTTCTCTGGTGCACTTTGATTCGGGACTGGTCATAATCTACTTTACAGCTATACAGAATTATTACCAGGTTAAAAAAACCCCTAACATTAGTTATAACAAGTCTTTCATTCTAACTCTCTTTGTTTTATACCCCACTCCTTTTCTAATGCATATATACAAATCAGAGAGCAGATTAAAGCTGTTTATTATGAAATTAACCTCACAAAACCCTGCTCCAAGATACATTACTTTCTTACCCAATCAAGCGCTTCATCTATATATTCTAGATGCTCAAAAAAATACAATCTAGAAGGTCAAAAAATGCATTGGAGGCACTCCTAAAATGAAACAAGAGGAAATACAAGGCCTTAAAAATACTTCTAGGGTTTTACTTTTAAATCTAAAACCCTAAATACACAACAGTTACTAACAACATTTTAATGAGAGCCATGTTTTTCTAGAAAAATTTCCTACCAGTTGGCACAGTCATTATCTAAGAACACAGTGGGAAAGAAATGTACCCTTGACTTCTTGCCCTGCCCCTATTTCCCTGTTTTTTCTTGTCTGTGAAGAGTAACAGCAGTTACAGCTAACACAGGTGCCTTTTCCCCCTCCTCTTTTTTGCAGCTGATATTTTGCCTACAGGGCTATACAGCATACATCAGATATCTCAGAAAATTATTTAAGCCAGAGTCTGGTCCAGGAGCTTAACAGCAAACTCTGTAAGCTTTTTTCTTAAAAAGGATGTTCTTTCATCTCTATCTTTGCCCATTTTCAAGCCTAATCAACAACAAAGGAGATTTAATCCATGAAATAGAGAGCAGCCAGCAAACAAGCTCTATGTGATGTCCAGGTGTTAGAAAGCCAAATGAATTATTTCGGTAGAACTGCCTTGTTTAGGTTCAGGGCTGGATATATTTCAATGGTCTCAGACCCAAAAGAAAGGAAAGACTGAGCATGTGGACTAATTAGCATGGGAAACGAGAGAATAATTAGCCAACAGAAGACAGGATACTAACTGATAAGGGAACCAGGTGACTTGCAATCAGTGAACATTAATGCCTTTGTTGGCTAAAATGTATAAACAGTGAAAAGCTTTGGTAGTGGCCGTGCTGGCTCGGCGGATTTGCCGCTCAGCGCCCCTTTCTGCGCAGAACCAGAAATAAATCAAATACCTCGGCTCTGTGCGTGGCTCGGTCTCAGGCACACTGGGTGCAAGGAATTAGGGTGTCCCCTAATTCGGGACAGCGCCCGGGCGCGGGGGATCGCAGCTCCCAGGGCCGGCCTTCCCTCCTCCCGTCAGCACCACAACGCCTCGCGCCGCCGCGGGTGCCTTCTCCCAGCGCAGAGGACAGGGTCTCCTGTCCCGGAGCGGCACAGGATCCCCAGGGAAGGCCGGCCCCGGCGCCCCCTCCCCGGGCGCGGCCCCCGCGGCCGCAGCACCGACCTGGGCCGGGAGGCGCCGGCCGCGCCGCCGCCGTTGCCGAGGGAACCGAAGCCCCGCCCTCTCCCCGCTCCGCCAATCCCGGCTCGCCGTTCCACCCGCTCCGCCTCTTCCGGCCAATAGCGGGAGGGCGTTGGGGTGGGGCCGGCCCGAGGCCACGCCCCCGGGGCAGAGGGGCTGCGGGGGCCGGGCAGGGCTGGGGCGAAGCTCCTTCGCGCTCCGTGTCCCGTGCCTCTGGAGTGTTTGTAAGCACTGCCCCGTTCCTGGCATAGCAGCAACGAGAGTGCGTGGAGAAAGCCTTCTGCGGGTTGCGATGAACGCGGAAGGAAACCCCTGAGTAAGAACGGCCACCCGGGGTGTTGACAGCACCGCCTGTTCCCAAGCGGGCGCTTTGGCCTAGTCTGGAAAATCTCAAGTGCCCGCGTCACTGGGGCAGTGGCAGCAGCAGGGCTTTGGGAGGAAGGCAGCCTGGCCAGGCCTGCAAGGGCTGCAAATACACTTCGGATTTATTTATTAATTTATTAAGTTTTTTTTTTTTTTTTTTTTTTTTTTTTTTCTTTTTTTTTTTTTTTTTTTTTTTTTTTTTTTTTTTTTTTTTTTTTTTTTTTTTTTTCCCCTTCATAGCATAGTTCCCGTCAGATTGATTCAATGTCTGCTGCATTTCCTATATCGGGAAGGTTCCGACTAAAATAAGATTCCCCTGTAGTGGCATTATGAGTTACTAAGGGAAAAGGCAGGTAGCATTAACCCCACATGAGATGAAGCACTTCCCAAACGTTAATCAAGTTGTGAGGTATAGATGGCAGAGGAGGGTGTTTCTACTTGAAATCAGTCCATATCTGAGGAGTCGTTCTGAATTCAGTGCAGAACACAGAATGGCAAAGGCATTTCTGTAATCGGATCTAAAATGGAACATTCATTCTTCAGTATACACTTCATTGTACATTCTTCATTGTACACTGTGTTAAACCTGACAGTCCTCGGTGAGAAAGCTCTTCCCATGTAAAATAAAGAGGATGTAATGGACTGTGGGCATCTGACACTAATTTCCTATTACTTTACAGTACTTCTGTTCAGTCTTGCATTGCATGCATGTGATTTTATACAATGAAAGGCTCATTATAACTTTAAGCTTTTTGAGGTAGGGTATGGTTATTGTATATGGCATTCACTTCTCTGTGAATCATTGTGCATTGCCCTGGCATTATTTACATAATAAGATCAGTTTAAAACTGCTTTTGTCAGTGAAAGCTTTGACAAATACTAGAGGGGTTGCATGGCTCAATGAAGCACCATGAGGAGGGTGAACAGTACTGTAGAATCTTAATAGCACATTAAAAGCCATTTAAAATTCAGATTCACAGTGTTTCCCAAGAAGGAGAAAGCACGGCTTTTAATGTGCACAGTTTTTTTTCCCTGATGCTGTGAACTGTATATGCTTTTTAAGTGTGAATGCTTAGTGGTAAGCACAGAAGAGAATTTTTTAGCTGAAAAAACAACACCACCCCAAAGCATCTCAAGTGTTGGAGAGTATTGCCTGTCCATCTTTATTAGTATACCACCCTGTGTTAAGCAGCTGGTTTTTTTTTGCATGATCATGTATGGCTTCACCGTGGATCATTATATTAGAAACCTTAGGCCAAACAAACACGATTAACTCAAAAATAACCACCAGTACTGTAACTTTTATTTGCTAATAAATATCTTAATAAACAGGCTTACCCCATCTGTAAGACCTGATAATGCCTCTTAGGAAATCATAGAAAAATAAAATACAATAATAATCAATAACTTGTACTTTGTACAAAAATCTCATTATGTTGCTCAGCAGGTAGTTTTGCCAAACCCCATATTCTTTCTGCAAAGAGATGGCATATGTGATGCAATTCACCTTAAAAACACTCTAATGTTGAGAGCTGAGCATTCTATTACACTATTAACTTGTAGGCATGCCAGCACATGAAAATTTACATGAAACATCATAGTATCATAGGAATCATAATAATAAAGAAAAGAAGATAACGCCACTTTTCAGTAAATAATAACAACTTCACGTCCAATGTAAATTCCCCTTGGGACTGCAAATCAGTAGGGTAAGCTTTTTATTCCACGGATATTCCTATAGTACCATTATAAACAGGCAAAAAGAAAATGCAGTGGGACGTGTGTGGGAGATCTATGAGGTGAAGAAAAGGGATTCTGGGGAGCGAGGCAGTCCCAGGGGGAAGCATCGCCACTGGCTGTGCAGTGTCCATCCCCCGGGAGGAGCGGCTCCAGAGCCGCACGGGCTCAGACGGTGGAGACGGAGCCCAGAGCCGCTGGTCCTGCAGCACCAGGGCGGCTCTGCCGGGAGATGAGTGCTGAAGACTGAGCCACGGGCAGTTGTCATTATTCAGATACGTCTTGGTTAAAGAAGCAATGGCAAAACAAACCTTAGCAGGGGTCTTTAAAGAAAAGGTGGGTTTCAGACTACTGGTGAGGATATGAGATCTGCGCTGAGGCCATGGTTTGATTTTGTAAAATAATTTGCAAGTATTATGATTATACCATTGCTTTTGAAGCCATCTACCTCTGAAGTTTTGACATGGCTGCTTAAATATATAATCTAAAGTGTCTGTCATCAAATATTTATTCATATATACACATACATTGATACATTTTATGGCTATGCTAGAACAGCAAACTATGAAGAGCAGTCATATTTAGTTTTGTACAATCTAATTTCACAGAAGAGACAGATTAAAACCCCTTTTAATTCAGATACATTTAAAACCAACACACAGAAATAGATAGAGGCTATCCTGAGAAAACATACCAACCCCATTATCTTCCAAAAGTAAATCAAAGCTAATGTTTGGAAGGTAGCAAAATATTATTTTTGTATTTTTTTTCTGAAAGTCAGTGGTTTTTCTTTAAAAAGTGATGACAAAATGAAAACTATTAATTCCAACTAGATCAATGAATGTTGCTTTGCTAGAAAATAAACTATTGCCTCTCAGTAAACAGGGTTTCACATGATCTTTTAAAGATTTTTTTTTTCTTCCTAAATTGCAGGCGCAATCCTGAGAAGTGCAGAGAAGTTCCCAAAGTCAGTAGGATTTAAACCACACCAGAGAAGAATGAGCCCTTTTTATGTCTCTGGGTGTTCAGTCACGGCAGCGTTGCGTGTGATGTAACTGATACCACCAGAGAATGTTGATATTGGCCTCAGCAAAAGCAGATGGAAGGCTCTGGGTAAGAGCAACAAACACTGAATCCCATCACCAGAGTTAACAAAGAAACAACTTTTTCCACTTTTAGTGTGAAATAGACCTCTCAACCTAACTTAGAGGAGTTGGGAGAAGAAATTGCTGCAGAAGAAATGGTAGTAAAAACACTACACTGACAATTCAAAGCTCACTGTTTCTTGGAGAGAAGCAAATATGGAATCATGGCCAACAAGCTGTAAAATGCTTCCTTATTAGGAATCTTGGAGTAGGAAGGTTTTCTTCAGATAGGGAATTAGTAAAAGAATCCAATAAATGGAACCAACTAAGAGGGCATTTGTTATTTTATTTGCTATTGTGCCATTCATTAACTGGCAAATCTGCAAACTTAGACTGCAGTGCACCAGGAGTATGAAGCAGCTTGTTCAGAGACAAATCATCAACCAGCACTTGTGTTTTGAAAGGGAGATCATATTGCATCCTGATTTATGTTTAGAAAAAAGACAGAAAATTCCTATTTGCTTTGGAGGTTTTGTTTGCTTTATGGGGCTGGTGGTTTCATCCTGAATTTAAATCCAGAAGTTTGGGAAATTATCAGGGGAAAAGCCCCACAAAGCCAGACCATTTCTGCTAGATACCCTATTAGATGTGTAGGTCATTTAGGTAACTAATTTCAAAGTCAGAGTTGACCATCCATTCCAGAGAAAATAACAAGCACTGTAGCACCCAACTTTTGTACCTTGCATTTTACCTTTTCCATGTTGAAGGTAACCACAGTTTACTTGATCACATCCCTGAGGTAGCAGCCTTTTCTTTTAGGCTCAGTGCACTCTCTTCTCCCCATTAAACGAGATCATCTGTTCCAGGAAAATCTGTAGAAACCTTTGATTCAAAACCTGTTTCATTCACTTGATTTCTTATGGATACAGCTGACTTTGGATCATGCCCTGAGGGACCAACCTACATCTCAACCTGAAACATTTCAACAGAACAATTAAAACCAGCAAAAACTTTTAGCAATCCATCTGAATGACAAGACAGCTCGTGTCCCAATAAATGTTAGTTCTCTAACAAGAAATTAACCATGACAGTAGTGGGGTGCAGGAAAGGAGAGTCTGTTTGCAGAGCTGGAGCCTACCTACAGAATATATGGACATTGGGCTTATCCCACTGCCATGGAAGTCAGTAACAAACTCTCATGATTTTAGATCACAGCAAGATTATTGCCTGTTGACAGAGAAACTTTTAATTCCTCACAGTCACATCACTCTCCCAGGAATTAATCGTGATGTTCATTAAAATAATTCAGCAGGATTTGGAAGTACCGGGTATGGTAGAGCAGAACGCGCCCAAGTCAAAAATGGAACTTCCCAAATTGACAATTAGTGACAAATAATCTACAGATTTGGAACACTGGCTGCACTTTGTCTTTTTCAGCTAATCCTATTTTATACAAAGAGTCTGTGATGGTAATTTATACAGCTCAGAGCACCCAGCTTCTTAAAGGAAAAAAATAATAATCTTATTATGCTTTTCCTTTTTCCTATTAATAATTTTCAGTTAAAGACCAGTCTGAATGAGAGAAAACTGAAAACTTGGTTTCTAAGACAATGTTAACTGGAGACTTCTATGTTTTATTATTTATTTAGGTTCCTCTCAAGAAAGTATGTAGTTATAAGCTCAGTATGTAGATATAAGAACAATTAGTCATTCAGAATTTGGTCCACTGGACTTTCTAATATCAATTATGATAACTGTACTTGTTTTTTTTTGTCCTGGGCTAGAACCTGAAAGGTCAGAAAATAGGGTGGTTTTTTTTCCTTCTTATCACTCAGAACATTAGGTGGTGATGATACTATGAAAATAGTCCCTAGACTGTTTCATTGAGCACTTTTCCATGACCCACAACCAGAAAGGAAAATTTGGGTTCCAAAGCAGATTTCTCCCAAACCTGATTTTCCAGATTCTAGATTCAAGGTTACTTTCTCCAGAGTTTCTTGATATCCCATAGTTCAGAATGCAGAGACCTGGATTTCCCTTTGAATTGTGGGTTTTCAGTGTCAGGGTTTTGGTTTACCTACCACTCAGCATACATGCTGCTGCTGACCAGTTCTTCACTGAATTGTCAGAAATTATGAGGTGTTAGTATAATAAGGCAAAATATCTTATCTCATGGTGTCTAACAGGTACTTTATAGGGATTTTGATTTTTGATTATGCCTAACTCTAGTCTTATATAAAGTCCCATTTCAAATCAGCCTTTTTATATTAATTAAGCTGCACAAACTCAGAACTGTTTACAGATTCAGGAGTTTCTGAGGTGGCACTGATATGTGCGCAGAACTAGTCGAAGTTCTCAGATAGATACAGGTAAAAGTTTTGGACAGAAACAAAGTAGAACAGATGTGAAAACTTTAAATTACTTTGAGACAGATTTTTTAATTCTATTGTTTCCCCCATATCCTCACTGTCAGAACTTGCATTTTTAGTCCAGTTTAATTATTCAGGTATGAAAAGATCAGATAATATGCTAAACTTTCTGGAAGAGATAGGTACTTGGGAAATCTCTTGCACAAAAGGTAAGTAAGATATACTCATGCAGGATATTTAAAGAAATATACACATAAATAAATTCCACTGAACTGGTATCACCTTATTTCACATATGAAATATGGAAATATACTTTAATCTATTTTTTAACTTTAGTTTTTCATCAACTGTCGTTGTTTTTCCCTTCTAAAAGTCAGCTTATCTTTTTATGCTATATGTTGGCATATCTCTAACTCATACACCCTTGAAAATTTCTCTCATTTTAACCTCCTAGGTGTCTATAAATGGTCATTTAAAAGAAAATAATTTATACACTCTGTAAACATCTTTGGTGATTTCGGCAGATGAACTGAAAACTCTTTATAGCACGGGCTCCATCTTCCTAGTTCTGCTGGCTCATGGGCACCTTGTTTCCTCTTTGAGATCACTAATTTCTACAGTAATCAGCTGAGCTGAAGAGAATCAGCAGGAAGGGGTTGGGTGAGGTGGCAGCAGAAGGGTGAGCAGGCAGCTTTCTCTGATCTAGTTTGAAAATGTTTTTCCTACCAGTGGAGAAAAAGAGGCTGTCCATTTCCAGCTAACAAGCCAAGGAATTATACACACACAGTGGGAAGAACTATACGCACACAGTGCATGCCACTAAAACTTTTAAAAGCAAATGGAGCAAATAAACCCCATTAGTGTTGTTGGTAATAGGTAATTAATTCTGTAGGTTTGAAAAATCTGATATTATGATATACATCCTATCTACAATTCTTTATGTACATATAGACAAATATTTGAACCACAACATGTTCACCATATCTTGGTCCATGATCTGAGGAATTATATACAACACTTGTGGAGCAGTGTGCACTACTAAATACAGGATGTGATGGTGGAAAAATTTGTCAGCTGTAAGTATGTGGGACTATCTTATGCAACTCTTGGGGTTTTTTTGAGCTCCTTGGCACAGTATGGACAGTTCTTCCCTTTTTATCTTATTGTAGAGTCTTTTTTTTTTTCCTTTTCAGAGCTGATTCATTTGTCTCCCCAGGAGATTTCAAGGTCATTGTCCTCCTAAGAGTTAGCCCAACCCAGTACATCTTTCCTTCATTCTCAAAAAATAATTATAGTAGTATTATAAAAAAGAAATTATCTTTGCAATTTATTTAGGAAAGATTCATTACAATTGGTGAACAAGGGTATTCTGGAAGAAAACTATTTAACGGAATACAGAGTTCTTCATCCATGTGCAAATGCTACAAGTGTCTCTATTTTTTGTACTTTTCCTGGAAGATGCAATGGAAGACAGACTTTTTATTATGATTTTAACTGAAAAAATGTTGGACTGGATTATAGGCAAGTCCTGCTTTTCACTCTCTGAAGAATATTCCAAGACAGAGTGAATCCATGACAGGTAGTTACAGGTACCCTGTGTTCTTAAGAGAATTCTGAGCTGCCAAAATGTGTCCCATAGAACCATTCCATCAGCTGAGGTAAAACAGTTCAATAAATGCTGCAGTTTTCAACAGGGCCAGCTGGAAAAGAGGACCTGCTCTTCAATACAAGGTTCTGTGCTGTTTTACCTTGGTGGCTGATGTGGTCCCATGAGGTCATTCTGACATGGAAATTGCTGTGGGTAATGCAGTCTCACTAGGCACCTCTACAGCCCCAGCTATTCCTCATGGTGAATCTCAACTGATTCTGGATAAAGGGGGTCTCGTTGTTATTTATGACCCATCTTTGGATCCTGTAGGAATCTGCATTGAAAAAAGAAATTAATGAAGCCCTGTGTTAGGCTCATATGAAAAATGGCAAGTGGATAGTCAGTCTTAAGTGATGTAAAAATCAAATTACTGCAGTCTATGAGTTCTGTGTCAGAATAATCCAAATAATACCTAATACAATATTGGACACAGAATGTTTGGCCATAACAACTAATTTATTTGAATTCATTTTGAGTGCACTATTTGCAAGTAAAGGATTGCTTTATGCTGTCTGATGTCCTGAAGCATGGCATGTTTCTAACCTTTTATTGGACATACAATGGACTTAAGTTCACAGGAAACAAAAAGGGTAAATTTTGTTTGAGAAAAATTTTAATGATGTGGCTCAATTCTCTTCCTTTCAACTCATGGCTTCCTGTTGTTTCTCAGTAATTCCAATGTGCAAACACATAATGAGTAAATTCTGCTGTGCCTTGTTCAGTTTTAGCACTATGAACATCATGAGCAAGACCCTCTCTGTTTCACAGGTTCAGCAAAACGACTGTATGCAATTAAGGCATGAAATTCATCTGACCAAGCACAGATACTTGAATGGATGAGCTATCACTGAATGCAAAGAAACAGGTAAGAATTATTTCTTTATGACATCCACATTATAACACCTTTTTTTTTGTTGCTTGCATGTTGCGCAAATAACATATGAACTTTCAATGGATACTTTTAGTCATAAATCACTCTGCAATGTGGGTGAGATTCTCAAAATCAGCCTACTAAATTTGCTTTAATTTATCAAATTTAAACTCCAGCTGCCCACTGCAGTATGCAGGGTAATTGTAGTTAATTTTCTCCTGAAGAAAGAATTTCCTGTAACAAAGAAGGTTACTCTAATTTCACATATACATTTGTGGCCTGTACAGAATTAAGCTCACATTTGAAAAGTTATTTGAAAAACAGTACCTGTTAGGGGTGTTTTTTTGTTTTGCTTTTAAATTAAAAAAAATATGAAAAAATCCCTAAACTAAAGCAAGACTAGACTAAGAATCAGCACAAGAGCAAATAAAACATTTCAAAAATGGCGAAAATGTAAATTTCATATATAAATTTCATACTGCACCACAACAGCAACAGAAAAACAAGCTGTGTAAAGCCACAAAATCCTGGATTTACAATGTTATTAACAAATGTGCTCACTCAAAGAATCCCTTGTTCTTTCCCTTCTGGTCACCCAAACTATTGTTCATATAAAAAATATATCTGATTAATAAATGTTTTACTTTTTTATATTTTTTCTATTGAAAAAATATTTTCAGTAGTATGATAAATTTAGAAATTAATTTTCATTAAATATAATGAAATATAAATCCAGGTTGTGTGCATGTAACTATGTCAATTCTGCATCTTCACTACCAGGAATGAAAAAACTGGCAAAAGACAATCTAAAAGTGCACATACATGGTTTGGGTGAGCTATGAATAACTTTGAAACCCCATTAACAAATAACAGACTCATACCTCCTCAGTAATGGATTTAATAGTGAGAATGGCTCATACCACAGATGTCCTGTTGTTGGCCATGGAAGCAATGATAGGCAAAATGGATAATAAAATGATGAAGCAAAATCCACTTTTAAATTACTCTGTGGTGTGTTAATATTTTTAGAAAGGCTTCAGGTAAGTATAGTTTTCTTTCTGTAAGAGCACCTCTACCAAAAAATTATACAGATGTGGAATTCAGGCAGAATTTTTCAAGTGACAGTCACAGAAAAGAACAAATGACTTTTCCCCCACTGAAGGGCTGTGATTGTGCAAAACTCATGTCCTTGTGCCAGACTGATGACTTCAGTGGGAATACTCCTGCTGACAAAATTACCTTTGGAGCTATAATAAGATTGAAGCTGCCCTTCTTTAAACAAGCTCATCAAATTGGCATTGTAGAACACCACTGACTCTTGATCTTTAGAAAATTTGTTCTTCTGTTACATCTGCCCCCTTTTTTTTTTTTTAAATGAAAGAAAGAAAAATTGACTTAGTGTGTTACTATTATCTCACCTAAATTAATACAATTATTCCAACATAAATTGACAACAGTGAATCAGGCCTCGTGTGTCTTACTCTGTGATCTGGTTGGAAGCATAATCTTTTCTGAGCTGCCTTCTGGTTTTCATTCTTTGTCACTGATATACAATGGCAGCCTTTTCCAAGACTTAGGAAATACCTTGTGATTTACAAGCTGTAAATGAAGCAGTAAATACCATTATGATTACACAAAGTAGTTAGTTCCTTTTGATATACACATAGATTATACTAATTACCCAAATGCACGTTTTAACAGAAGAACTGCAATGCTTGAGTACATTGGAATGCCAGGGAACTCAAATATCCCCTCCAAAGGACACAGGAATGAAGAGAAGCATCTGCACAGCGTTACATGTGACATGCATTGTAGATCTACGTGGGGTTCCCACAGCACATGGCCATGCAGTCCTGCCCCTGCTCTCAGGAGTGCATATCCCATGCAAAAGTTTGGAAATGTAGCCCAGCATGTCTGTGTCAGTTGTCTGAACAAAACATGGAAGCGGGAAGTCTTAGAGAGGTACAAATATCATGTTAGGCCTTTGCTGACATTTTCTTGCATGTAAATATGGCTATTGAAGGGCTCTAAAGGTAATACCTTGGATGTCCTTTAGAGAACTGTACTAAATGAAGATCTGGCCTGGAATGACCAGAGCTCCATTTCAGCAGAGTTTGCTTTTTAACTTCTAAAAGCACTTAGAAGCAGGATCAAGGCAACATGTTACCACACTGCTGTCCTGCATCTCCTTTTCTGCCTTTGTGCAAGATTACTGCATCCTGCAGCCTGTAACTTCCAGCAGCAGTGGGGCTGTACTGCTGCCCTCGGCTGGAGGAGGATATGGCTGGCCTGCTTCTATGGGAATGATCCCATCACCCCACCCATGGCTGGCCCTCTGAGCTCTGCTGCTGGAGATGATTCCCTATCCAACAGCAGAGACCTGCATGTTTGAAACACAAAGCTCTTCTGAAATCTGTGTGTCTGCAACAGAGCTGACAACCGTGTTTTACATGTGGTCATGAGAACGCTACAACCAGTTTTCCAGTAGTAGAAGCAAATGCTGAGTATTACGTTAAAAAAAAAAAAAAAAAAAAGGGTTGTAGGGTGGTGAGGAATCCCAAGGATAAACAAGTTTTCCAACCTAACCTAAAATTTAAAGAATAAAAAGTGTCGAGTGCTAAAGTAATTCAAAATCAAGAACCTTCCTTAAGATTTCAAACAGATTACTCTCACTATGCTTCCAATTATTCACACAATGAAAACTCACTATATAAAATCATCAGTCATTTCTGCAAACAATACGTAATGTTTTGAGGCACCAGCTTACCAGCATTCAAACTATTAGAAAGTAATAGGACACATACATTTGGATTTAATTAAGAGATAAAATAAATATTTATGTTAAACTTCTTTTTGATTGCACATTTGGTGTTGGAAGTTACATGGTCACAGAACATGAAAGAAGTCAAATACTTTTTGATCTACCAGCAAATTCTAAATACATCGATAAAGAAGCCACACCAGGCCAAATAGATTACTACTTTCAAGTAAGTCCATGAAAGTTTCCCAAATACCGTTATACAAAGTTACACATCCATGCTTAGTTATTCATCAATGTGTAGCATGAGTCTTGCAGTAGGCCAGGATTTTATGGGCAGAGAACTGGTGGAGGAGCTGTGCAGTGTGATTAAAAATTCCGGTTTGGAAGCATTAACATAGAAGTACTTGTATAGTCTGAACTGGAGACTGCAGTTCTTGAAGTTGGGAAGAGCAGGAGGGAAGAATGAGAATATTTTTTTCATTTTAGAAATGCTGAGGCACAAAACACAGTTGCTTCTATTACTTTCATACATGAAATCCTTTCTCCTGTATGTGCATCATGTGTAACCGTAAAGTCTGTAAACTGCTGACTATTCGTCTCTGGTGTCCAATGAGTGCAACTCCAATTCTTCTAATGTCACTGCAAGATAAAAAGTTTCATCTTGGATGCAAATATAATAAAGCTTCTGGTGCAGAAAAGAATGTAATTATATGATGACTTCTTCTCCAGGACAGTTTACCTCCCTGGCTATGGCATATAAGAAAGCTGCAAATTTTCAGTTTTTCTGCATCTGTCAATTTCAACTTTTGAAAAAAAACCAGTAGTTTAATAAAAAGATGTATTTAGAGCACTGGGGCTTAGTGCTCCAAATTGGTGATACTGGGGCTTATTAGTGATACTAATGGTCAATTAATCTTTCTAAATCTCAAGGACTAATCAGGTGAATTCCAATAGCCCATTTTTAGTAATGTGATTGTAGCAACTGTTTCCCACTCATACGTAAAAAGGACTGGGGCTTACACCTTCAGTATTGCAGTTCTGAGGCAGAAATAACTGAGGTTTTGCTTCTGATAATTTGGGGAATGGTAGTGAGGTAGTGAGAGATGGTCAAAGATCAAATTAGCAGTGAATCTTCCAGACAGACCCTGATTTCCCTCCCAGTTCCCCTTTATCTCATCTAGCCCTGCACCCCAGAGTGGGTAACTCTTATCACTTGCAGGGCTCGACTCTTCGGCAGGAATAAAGTCAATAGCCACCAGAATTCAGCACAATTCACCAACTTAGTTTTTCAATAAACATTCCCAGCAGCAAGATCTGAGAAAGATCACAGAGGTGCTGAGGACAAAAAAATTCAGATATGCCAGATTTGTCCGTTATGCAAATCCCACACTGGGACATAGACAGATATTGCCTGTTTATCCTCAAAAACTGTATGATGATAAAACCAGTAAAGGAGCTCATGGAATAAGGCATAGCCTTCATGAGTTTCAGATGTGCACTTCTAGATATCTGCATCTGATCTCCAGATTGGTATCCTCCAGCTGAGGAACCACTGCAGAGCTTGCAACTATTACATGCTTAGGCTTAACATTCTCATGGGGCATGATAGACAACACTTGATGTAAGCAAAAATATTGAGCATCTGAGAAGCTAAAAGGAGTCAGTTTAAAGAATAAAACTTTACAGTGGAGAGTGGTTTTAGAAATGCAAGACTTATGCTTTGCATTTATCAAGGAAGATCTAGATAAAGCACAGAAAGAAGCCAGGTCTTGTGTAACACAAATTATTTGAAGAGAGAGGGAATCACTCAAAAAGGTGAAATGGGATCTAAAGTAGAAAGGATGATAACCTTAGATTAGCTGTAAAAGCACAGTAAAACAGACTAAAAAGGAACTTGAGGAGCAAACAGAAAAAAAACCCCAAACAGTAAAGTAGAAAAAATTACACTTATAATAAATCTTTTTGCAAACTCCCTGGGTACAAGAAACCTGTCATAAAATGTGTAGAGTCTAACGATGATTTGGGCATAAAAGAGCACTGAAGGAATGGCCATTGTTGGAAGACTTAACCATTTGAGTTGACATTCACTGTGGAAGAAATTGAAATGACTCCCATGCCAGATCCTTTCTGGGGGACTTGCCAGAGTATCTGTCTGAAGTGGCTGCAGGACAGCTTATAGGACAAACTGGAAATACAAAAAAGGCAACAGCCCATGTCCAGAGAAGATTATATT